GTTAGTATATTTATACGTTTCTAACCTACGCACCTATCAGACATATTTCACACAGATGCAGATTTCCTCTAGCACTTGCCATCGAGGTTTAGAATGATAGATATATTTCCATTACCTGCAACGAAAATAGACTGCACACCTGTCGCTGCGCTGGCGTGGTTCATTCATCGCAGCGGTAATCGCAACGTTATCTGATGGTCGGTAATGCTCTCAAATCGGGGGTGACTGGAGGCTAATTGATGTCGTTACTTAGCCAACCTGCTTGACGCTTTCTGTAGAAATATATAGCTTTGACATGAAATAAAGCACAGAAGCCATTAAAAAGAGATGTAGTTTTAATATTGAAGGAAAAGTGTTAACGTTATATTACCCAAACGACACAAATTCCGTTCATTCTGCTTCGCTATATAGACGGAATTCACACGACCGGATCTCAGACACAGTCACCGACCACTGTACGAACCAACCTTTAATCTATATTTTGCTAGCAGTCAGCTAGGCTAGGCCAAAAGACGATTTTAGATTTTTAGTACATTTGGTGCCAAATCTGGTGTGCACTGAGTATGTGTATGATGAAATACTTTCTTGCGCAAGCTTTCCGACTACGGTTATCACATTCTGCATGATAGTCTCTATCGGCATGCAGTATTCACATTGAGCCCCCAGGATTATAAATCGTATAAATAAGCCAATAAACCAGAGACTTCGGAATCTTTCAAACTGAAATTTGTCAGAAAACTTCCTAAAATTGATAATGAAAACCTATATCCATGATTGCGCTATCTAACAGGGCAACAGCTCCCATATGCCCGAAATTAACACTTTTTTTTTTGTTTTTTCATTAATAATCTAAAATCTAGGGTAATACACCTCCAGAAAGTCATCCAGGGTAACAGAGACATCAACAACAATACCTATTGAACGTCATTCCTGAGAATATCCCTTTTCTGAGTAGAAGCAATAACTGGCTTGCTTGTACGAGAGATCGGCTTCAAGTTTAGAAACAGCAACTCTTTTTCTGAGTACTAGCTAAAACATGTTTACAGAAGAAAATGTGGTTACTTTGATGATTGTTCTCATCAATATTTCCAAGTAATTATTCTACCTAAACTATTTGGCACTGCCTTGTTATTTTCATTGTCTGAAACGTATCATTTGCATACAAAAGAGGCCATTCCAATATCAGTACAAACTGCTTCAGAATCGTTATACTAACAATTCATACCGTTGCACAGAATCTATTAAAGCCACATTACAATCTAGCGTAACGTTCTGCTCTTACCATTTTGCGCTCTGTCTAGACTGTTGACTTCCAGTTGGAATCGATTGCCATGCATGAGTAATGCACATGGAAATCAAATTGCCGTGCAATACATCTTTCCAGTAACATGGGAATGATATTTTCGATTACTGTTCTTATCCTGCAATTGTTTGAACTTAACGTTACTAAGGTGGAGTAATGCACAAGGGCGTATCCAGAAAGGAAAACTGTAAAACTGTCCCCCTTTAAGTTCATATCCCATATTCCAAAACTTGGAATAAAACTTCAAGTGATGATTCGGCGGATTATTTTAGGACCATGCAGTCGCTTGGAAGACCCCACTGGAAATCGATTTTTCTTAAATATCTCTTGAACTCCATATAATTTATCGAAATTTCGACAGCATGCCTAATGCAATATCGGCCTTTGCACGCTCTACAATAATAGGAATGAAGAAATATTTTTAGAAAGCTTGATTCTTTATTTAAGAAAACGTATACTTCTTTCACTTTAATATTATCGAAAGTTTTTGAGAAAAACGATTATATTTCGATACTATTATATAATTGTATTGCAATTATGATATAATGGAACCGACAATTTACAATATAATAATTTTGATAACATATTGCTTATCAGCAACCCGGAAAATACTCAGTTATGAATTTTTTATCATTGAGTAACGTATCCCACCTGAGATTTCAGAAGGCCTCATGTCTCCACAGGTTGCCTCCAGCAAACAAATTTCAGCCCGATATGAGACAACGCCCGTCTAGCTTCATGAAAATGACCAATTATGGTTCTAAATATCGAAAATTGGATTCGACTGCCTACCAGACCAACTTAAGGCAAGGGGTATATAATTTCATTTATATAGGGGATCAGGCTTTATAGTGCGCACTTTCCGTTTTGGAAGGCATTCGAATAATGAGCCAAATAGTAGAGTGAACAATTCCGAAACAAACACTTTAACTGAAATATCTGCTGAACGAATTATCATATCGCCTTTTGGAGCTCACTTTTGTCTTCCTTGAACAACTCTACTTCGGTATATTTATATATTATGTGGTCTAATGCGTCCCAGGAACTGGAGTCGCGGAAAAATTAAAACGTCGAAACTCGCATATTATACGAACCTTCACACTTGACCCGCCAAGCCTATATATATATATATATACATATATGTCGACGTCAAACGCTGAAATCCGTTATTCCATTAAATGCCTAGTCAGTCCTCGTATTGCCAGCAAACACCGTAACAGTATGATTATTACAACGTTTGACTAAGCATTTCAGTTATTCCCTGTAATGACTGAACAATTTCAGTCAAACACCGTAACAACCACATTAACCTCGGTACTCCATTTTCCTGATTCAGTCATTCGTTGTACCAGTTTTGTGTTCATTTGCTTGAATATACAATAATGTGATGATAGAGACGTTTTAATCTATTCTTCTTTCCTTTTAGATTAGTTCATGCTTGATTATTTTTCTTTTAATATTATTGATAAAGAGGTACCTTGTTATATTATGTACTTCATTGGAGCAAGACTGTATTGATTACAGCGTTTGACTAAAATAGGCGAATGCAGTAACGAAGTTTATGTGGTTGTTACGGTGTTTGACCGAAATTGTTCAGTCATTACAGGGAATGACTGAAATGCTTAGTCTAATGTTGTGATAATCAATCTATTACGGTGTTTGCCTGGCAATACGGCGACTGGCTAGGCATTTCAGGGAATGACGGATCTTAGCGTTTGTCGCCGACATATATAACAAATATAAAGATAATTAGGCAACTTCCGCAAAAAGAAGGAAAGCGAATTCGAGCAGAAAATAGGGTAGGTAACCCGAGCGATACGTATTTCTGCTTGTTGGCTTCGTCAGGCCCGAAATGAATGCACATATGCAACCACAAAAGTAGATACACATGCCCATACATCCGGATACGGGTGCAACCTGGGAAAACTTTCGTTTTTGAGGTGAAGTGAAAGTTTTCATTTCCTTGGTAGGTTAGTATCATGTTTAAGAATAAACAGGTCTTTTTTTGAAGTAAAACGCAGTATATCTTCATTATTTCTAAGGAAATTACACCGATCTCTTTTCGCAACATCGCTTTTAGAGTGCAATTTGCGCCCTATCGTCGGTTTGCTGTATGAGATTGGTTATCTTCTAGTTTGATACGTTATTCAGAGGTTTTAGGTTTTTTCAACTATTTGGGGATTAGCTGTATTGTATTTATCATAAATCGATATGAACAGTATTGAAATAATAATAATAATTAAAATATTAAATATCCCCTAGAATACAGAATAATGTATGTGAACAGCTGTGGTTGAGCTTGTTACGTTTCAAATTGTTGCCAGCATATACATAACATATACTCTATATATATTCTAGGTGCTTTACAAACACATTAAAAGTGTTAATCCACACTTCAGGAGTGGATTTTTTTAATTTCTTTGTGAGTGCATATTTACATTGTGTCAAGGAACCAAACATATATAAAGCCCATGTTTGTATACCTAGCTTCAAAAATAATAGTTTCCCCAACTCCATCAAGTTTCGTTTTCACAACAAAAAGCTAGTGAAACGGAATATACAACTCGTCGTTGCTTCTCAAGGCGGTCCAGAGGACCTTAGCGCTTAAATCATAGTCACTGTAATGTCTGTGTCTGTCGTAAGTCTGTCAGGTCTGGTGATACAGAAACCAGACAAGTTGTAGAGGCAACGGAACATACGTACACACTTTTCCGTTCATAATATTAGTAGCGAGAAATATGAGGATACATAGATAATAATTCTATAAACTGGGAATAAGAATTAATATGCTTTCCGTAATTAAAATCAAGATATAGGCATTTATGCAAAAATAAAAGAATCCAGCTATCTAAGTGTTTGTACACATAGCATAATAAATATAATTGGTATCATTTTGAAATATTCAACTTACTCAGGTGTTCGAGGGATGAACTAATAAAATACTTTTTTAAAACGAGATCCATTCTACAATATGACATTATTGGAGATTCACTTTTTTGACTCTGGAATAAAGTATTTTTTAAGTACAGTTTCCGTAGACCAGCAAAACAGCTCATTCACATGAGATAATAATTTGAGGCTTTCGTCATTAAACACACCCAAATTGTTAACTGACCCTTCTGTCTGAACAGCTTGACCGTCTAAAGCTATGCTGATATTATTTTTTTAACTGTTGTTTTTCTGGAAATAATAATAATAAACGGCTTAATTTACAACATTATAAGTGGGCGAAGTTTAGCCTCGGCTATTCTTCCATTTAACCCTTATGTGATATTGGTTGCTGGAAATGTATATGCATATTTACCAAAAATGTTCAAATAAAGCAATGTAAAAGTTCAATACTAGAAACAATTACAGTTAAATAAATGCAGCAGATGCAACCTCAAATTTAGTTTATACATCATATTTTTCAGGTCGTTTAATGTGGACTTGTATAAGGAGATTGCATTAAATGTGAAAGATCTCTTAAATATAGAAGTCCTTTTTTATACCGAAGTAGCCGCGCAGGAAGAAGCAAGGAGGATCCCAAAGACATTTTGTTAATACCGAGTTTTGAACTGCCAGATGTTAGTAGAAATGGTAAAAACTTCCTCTTGTAGATTCTTCCACAATCTCGAGACCCTCGAGACAAAGGAGCGGTCGTATCGGCCAGTTCTAGATGTACGAAGTTCGACACGGTTAGGAATGGAGGCCAAAGTCAGGCGGATGTGTCTGGCAGAACGTGCGGTGGCATCATGGAGGAGAGCTCTGAGGAGCGAAGCCCGCTGGTGTAATGGTAGAAGAAAGCTAGGTCATTAACAGCCCGCCGGTCTGTTAGAGAAAAGTCGTCGATCAGTCGGACAGCTCTCCCCTGCATTGAGCATAAAAATGTAGTGTGAGCAATACTCGAGGCTAGGTCTTATCTCAGCCTTGTATAGAAAGAGGTGTCCCTGCAAGTACTTCTAAACCCTAAACAAATAGCCTAGCTTTTTCCCAGCAATTGCCACTATTGGCGAGATGTGTTCGTGCCACATCAAGTCCTCGGAATCTGGTTTCTGACTAGCCGAAATAAACGGCGCTTAGCTATACATCTAAATCGAATGAGCGCTAGGAAGCATCAAATTGTACAAGACTGTTGGCTCCCCCAGCAGTGGTCTCAACAGAGAGGAAGTCACCCCTAGTCTCCTTTTTCCCAGCTCACCGGCAGAGATCGGCTTGTCGCTCTGAATTTCTGCATGTAGAGTGTTATTGTTACGTAAGAGAGATGTCGGAGCGAATACTGATCCCAGGGGAACACCCGCGTTGACGTTGTGGGATCAAGTGTAAAACCCGTCAATTACGATGGACATCTTGCGACCAGCGAGAAAGTCAGTACCCGTTTGCAAAGATTCTCTAGGAGACCAAAGGATGGAACTTTGCTTGAGAGTGCAGCGTGCCACAGCTAATAGAACGCTTTCGTGATATCAAGAGCGGCGACATGAGCCTCACCATGAGACTGGATGAGTTTACTCCCCAGCTGTATGACGTAAGCTAGGAGTTTCCCTGCGGATCGCTAGTGCCGGAAACCATACTGCTTGTCGCTAATCAAGCCGTGAGGTTCTAGGTAGTCCAGAAGCTCGCGATGTATGCACTTATACCACCTTACTTATAACAGAAAGCAGAGCTATAGGCCTGTAGTTATAAGGGTCGGTCTTAGATCGTTATTTTGGGATGGGTCGTACATGAAGAAATTTACGGTTTTCTGGGAAGGTGCCGGATTCGTAAGGTATCTGAACGAGGTGCTAAAGAACTGGAGCAAGCTCTGCTGCACACCTCTTCAATAGAACGACAGGAATCAAATCCGGACCAGAAGCTTTTATGATGTCGGGAAACAAGAGCACATGTCTTACGGTCTTATGCTTGTATGTTGCTTCCCGCATAGTGTGAGGAACCCTTTGAATCGACGGTACTTGGGCGTTGGGGGGACGTCCATGGTGGAGTTGGCAACAAATATCTTGGAAAGCACTTCCACCTTAGCCTTTGAGTCGGTTACAATCGTTCCGTCCTGACACGTAAATGGTAGAGGGCTACTCTGTGAGATGTTCTTTTCAATCTGATTTGCCAGCGTCCAGAAAGACCGACTGCCATTGCGCTGCGACATCACCCTGTGCCCAACTGTTATGTCGTGGTGGTTGGTCTTTAACATTGCGAACAGCTTTGTTTCTCTAGTCGACGTCGGCTTGTTTCTTCTCTACAATGAGGTTTTTATGAAGGTTCTGTGCGCCTTGATCTTTTGCTGGTGAGCAGTGTCACACGATTTGTTGAACCAGCCGTTGGACTCTGGTTTAGGCACATTCACTGTATGAGGGATGTATTCCTCCATCCCAATGTGAATAATTTCAGTTAGCATCAGCGAAGCAAACATATCTCCAAGAAAAGGTCGAGAAGAAGTCTCTGAGTTCCTCCCAGTAGGCAAGTCCGTTAGTTTTTAACTATAAGATGTACATGATCTCGAAACCTTAATTTGTGATAAAGAGCTCCCTGAGGGTTTTTACATGGTCAGAGCATTTTAATTGTGATTGGTTCATACAAATTTGTTTTTGGACGACTAAAATCATTTGTGTTTTTTCAGTGTTCAATTTAAGAGCATTGTCCTTTGCATAATTATAGATTACTTCTATATCCTCAGAAATGATAGAAACATTTGGGTATCGTGGGCGTTGGTTTTACAATTTTAAATAACTGTGGTCAAATTTGAGGTGCATAATGTGAATATTAGTGGCCCTAAAACAGAACCTTGTAGTACGCCAGATTTTAGTGGCTCAAGTGATGAAATTTTATCGCCTAATGAGAGTGTTTGATGTCTACCGATTAAGTAGTGTACAGTCTTCTTAACAAGTCCTAAATACTTCAATTTCTATAATAAGATTTAGTGGATATACAAGGATACATTTCTCCCGATGAAAAGTCGGGCTTTTCAAAGGAGTGACCATTGCTTTACAGCGTGTAAAGGGATCAGTAATATTGCATTGGAGCTAGTCAGTCCCTGACGAATTAAATATCATAATCATTTTCCGTGGGTCATGCGGAGCCTGCGTCTCTGAAGCTAAGCAGAAATCTAAAAAATCGTCAGAGGACGAGGTCTTAAAATGGTCCAAACAAGCAATCCCTGAATTTTTGCCCGATGTTTTGAGTATATCAATCAAAGAAGGCCTAGTGATAGGCTGATTTCTTTAAAAGTAGGCTGCCTTCCTAGTAGTGTAAATTGACCTCGTGCCTAGTGGTATACTGTTCTAAAAACGGGTACTCTCTTTAAAATTAAACAGAAAGCTCTCTATTACGTAGCATTGTTGATTGGTTGCTCAACACTTGGCTATATCTCTTATCAAGAAGCTTACCGGCAACTTTTCGGTGAAGTGAGTTTCAGTCGAAACCAGAATTATAGACATGTAGCCAGAAACGATTCTAGAATCATAATCACTCACTTGATGCGTATAAAAACGTTTCATATGATAATCAAAAGGCACGATACCAGAATGTGAGGTTGGAACAAAACTGTTATCACGTCTTTTTAATAATGTTGCAAACCGTCAATGTGCTTAAATATGATTACTAATATTATAAGTGAGGAAGTGCACAATCACGCCAAAACAGCTGAATGGATCTGGATGAAATTTGGTGCAGAGATATATTGTAGTCTGGAACAGCACATAGGCTTTTTATCTCAGGAAATAGGTTTGAAATATCTATTTCACGGGCTACAGTCCAAAAGGCTAAGTGGAATTTGACATGAGTACAATATAAATGGGACATTTTCATCGTACATTTATATTTCGACAGTCATTGTCTTGGCTTGATCATCTTGATTTAGATATGTCTTGGGTTCTGTTTTACTTCAAGTATAATACTGTGAATGTTTTTGGGTTAGGATATGTTAAGACATATCTATGTCACACACGCTGTGATATAATTTACGTTTTAAGTATTTATTGCGACTCTTTGTACACATTTGATGAAAATGTCCATTGCCAAAGTAATTATTGCAACGCTTTGAGTAATGCTTTGCTTTCTCCGATACCAATTCCCTTCACACTAATTGAATAGTTTGATAAGAATTAAACAAATGCTCGAGTTATCTGTCTCGTATTCAAGATCATGTGCCAATACTTCAGATTACACAATAAAATATGACATTATTATTGAGACTAACTAATAAGAAATGAACTTCCCAAATACAAACAAAAACTTTTAATAGGTATTTACTAGTATTCATTACGGATCCCAACAGGAATACACTAATCCTACAAAGACTGGCAGAGAAATTTAGTGACTAAGCTTTAAATCAAACTAGAATCCATTTTCAGTAATTAATGATGCAAGTTCGATCGCCCGTTTGTTAATCATTCACAGAGAGCGAAATGACATTTCCATCCTATGTGAAGTCATACAATATTTAGATATAGTGTTTGAGACTAGTTGTAAATGTGTTGGGCATCAACGTATGCATACTCCGTTATAGATACCAAACCTTCCTTTGATAATATCCTGCTAGTAACGGATATAATCAGTATATAAACTACTTGCAATTGCGTATACTCACATACATAAATCGTGGTCCGAAATATACTACTGCTCTTACAGTTTTTAGCTTAACGAGCCTTTCTAGGTTTCTACATATAGGGACTGACCGATTGAGTTCAACGTGTACGAGAAAAGCGCAAGAAGTGTCTATCAACACATGTTAGAAAGAGATAGAATCCGGCTGAAGAGCGAAATTCATTACCACATTGCCTAGCAACGGTGACGCAGATCGTGTAATCTACCGCGTTGTCAATATGTAACACCAAAAAATATTCGCACAAGCTTCTACAATAGGTTAGGTTACTGTTAAACTCAAGAAGGTATCTTCGAACATTTAAGAATTTTGTTTTCATTTTGATTAGAATATAACTATAACTTATGTCAGTTTTGATGCGACGTAGTGTCTTAATTTATTTTAGAAGTACCTACCTTTGATTTCCACCGATGATGATAAAATCAACAAATCCTAATGACGCAAAATGTAACGAATACCATTACGCAATACAGATTATAACTACCTGCGTGTACGCAATGATGCAATGTTGCAGAATTTGTGGCGATCCTGACTTTTCATTTCGACCTAAAATATAGCGCCGTTAGGATCGATCCGAAATCGATCCTAAACAGATCCGAAACAATGCAAAAATGTGTACGCTCAAAATAAAACCCTTATTTGTACGTATAGAATAAACTAACGCATATTTTCAACATCCATCTTAATCCAACGAACATTTTTTTATACAACTACCTCGAAGGCCTAAGGCCTAAACACCCAAGGGGTACCGTGGGGCTATAGGGGGATACAGGGGTAAGGGGGAACGCTACACGGACTCTGGCGTGGGAACACGTGTGCATGCAACATGCACACATTCTGGCTCCGCCTACGAGATCCGCCGGGTGGTACCTCCGCGGTCGACAGTCAGAGACCGTCTACCACCTACGGACAATCACAACATCCATAGGCAAGAGAAAAATTTCTCCTGGGACGGGACTCGAACCCGCACAGCGCACGGCGACTGATCAGGAGACCGAAGAGTCTACTACTGCGGCTACCGCTGCTGCCATATTAGCAACGCGGTGATGAGCCATCAGACAAATTTGGTTCTCAATGTATATGTTTTATAACTGACTGATTTTTCAACTGTCTGAGCCTAATACTGAGAAAAACCTCTTTAGGCAGATCATTCCATATTCTAAATACTTTAGAATCGGTCATACCTACCACATCTTGCCGCACACAATTTGGCTGAGTTAGGATGAGAGGCAAAATTATAGCTCGGAGGTGCAAAGTCCGTTGGGAAATCGTCGAAGAAAGTAGTTACCGACCACCCGTCGATGCAAGAGATGATTAAGTCGCTAAGGGAGTCCTACGTCATTGAATATGCTTACCTTTATAATAGGATATTTTGGTAACGACGCGTCGCATCGAGACATAAGCTACCGACTCAATATCAAACCTGACCCACATAAGTTTTTCCAGTTGAAGCAGTTAGTTAATCTCTCCATCGCTGGATCTCCCTTTACCCCCCAATGTCGACCAATAACCGTTAATTACAACGCCTCCTTCGGATGGAGCCCGTAAAAACTTTTCATCGGGAAAGTTTCAGCATGCTCGCCATCATATCGAGTGTGCCATGGCAGCGGCGTATCTGCACAAACAATGCACCCAGATACTCTCCAAGAAGGGGCGTAGTCACGAATGACAAATGATTAATGTCGCATGCTAGATAGCTCACATGTCGTACAAAACTCATTTTCTGCCTTCTTGAATCGCGCCATTTTTCATCGGACAAAATATCGACAAAGTCAAAACCATGCGATAATGAATAACAAAAGATTTTTTCACCGTTCGACAAAATGACAGATACTTACTTTCACTCCCTACGCCACTGGGTGAGGAAGTGTTGCGATAGCGAATTCCGAAAATGAGATATTATGTTTTTTCAGTGTTATATGATACATCCCGGAAAATCAGGTAATTCATTTCCGTCATGTATGTCTGTCGGTCTGTTGGTTTGTCCCCAAATCCTTGGCCCGTCTATAATTTGGAAGTTACTGCTGGAAATAAGATAGCACTTTCACACCAGGCTACTACTATGCCAAGTATGAAAAAGCTTTGTAGTTTTTGAAAATCTAACATGTGATGACGGAGAAAATGCCAAAAGCGAAAGAAATAAAAATCGCACAAACTTCGTTTCTTGACTTTTGAGAGGATCCTGATCATTTTTGAAAAAATTGTTGGGGGTAAAAATTTTACTTAGGTATATGAATACACTTTCAATTCCTGTAATTCTACGCTCTTAAAACAGAAAAATATGTTCTCCTCTAAGACAAAACAAAGTGAACATTCTTACGGAACAAGTTTATTCCTGTGTTGCTCTTTACGGAGATTGTCCACGGCACATTGCTATAGCGCGGCTATCCAGTATACAAAGGGGCATTTGTACGTATACCGGCAGTAATCTAGTACTAGTTGCTTCCAGTGTATAGGGCAAACTACAGCTCTTTCGGCCTACTGGATGAGTACTAGAATGCTACCATAATTCAACTTCCGCTGTTTTTGTTGTTTAATGCATCAATGTTCATTAAGACTCCACTAACTCCCTGCTGCAGTTCTTTCGAAATCGGATATTCCACCCCCCAACTCCCAATGTTGCACTTTTCCGATCTGCTTCTATAGTCTAATCATTTTAGACGAAAATTGCCCTGGTTTGCGAAATAATAATAAAATAATAAAAACAAAATAAAATGGGTACACCAATTTTTGTGGGAAAAATTTTGATTTAGTAACAAAGA